AGTTACTTTTGATTTAGGTTGTTATATTAGGGACATTATTAGTTATTGTTCTAGTGCTTTTGGCACTAGTTAGGGATTGGACTTTGGGATCTTTTCCCTTGTTTGTTTTTGTCGCTTGTATTGTGTTTTTCAGCTTTTTGACCCTTTGAGTCCCCCGGGCTTGATCTATTACCATTACCAGTCAAGTTGACTTCATTGGAGATAGAAGGGAGAATGCTGCCTGGACTGAACTCTCACCTTGACTATCAAGCATCAAATCCGAATGGGAGGACTTTACATTCAACAAATTCAGAGTAGGTGTTGAGGCAGGGTAAAGTCCGATGGTGTGATAGTTTCTTTGAGGTAATTTATATCATACGGGATGTATGCTTTGCAGGGATCGTTCTGTAGATTCTTAGCCAGTCTTCAAGACTTAGCAGCTTGGTTTTGATACCGGGTCGACTTGAGTATCACATTCCTTTTTACATGTTGGATTTAGACTAAACTTAGCTACGGATGGATGTCATGCTGAAGAAAATTTTACCGAGCCACCAACGACAATCTGCTTGAGTTCTTATGAGATGTTGAATTTCCCCGAATGCATGAAACAACAGTGTCCAAAGTCTTTGATTCCATTTATTCTATTACTTGAAACTTTTGAATGTTCGTAAATTGACAAAGGTGTCCTGCATTACGCTCCTACAGGGGTCTTCAATCAATCTACTAATCGCATCTTAAGGGTACAGTATGCCAGCTTTTTACTAAAGAATGCTGATAACACACCCATATCAAAGTTAATGAATCTTCCATTATTGAAGGTCTACACTACTGAAGATACCGCTCATGTCCCATGATTGAAGGTCATTTCAAGAACGGGCAACAGTCACGAGAAAGGAACCAAATTCTAAAGGACTGACATTTGACTACAACTATCAACTTATATCAGCGGGCAAAACATTCACAAGGAAAGATGGGTACAGTGGAAGGTCAATGTCTACCTACTGCAAACAAGCAAGAAAGAAAAATTTGTTCTTGTAATACCCCATGGAAAACCCATGGCGCTAATAATGAGCACTAATTCAAAACAAACACATTCGGGGTAATATTTGGTTCTGGTGGCGGCTTCGTTCAAATTTGTCATGTGAATTAACTGCATCCACAAAAGTACAATGAACTATCGGTTCAAAGGGATTCCACTACTTTGCATGGACTTTACTTGCTCGACAAAATGGAGACACCTAGAGTATGATTCCTCGAGAATGTAGGTACCAATCCCTCATTCCCGGTACTAGCAACTACATGCACCATCATCTTTATTTACCCCAACTCTCACGAAAATCTGCTTCGCTCAAAAGAACAGGCTCGACTCTTTGCCTACTCCTGCTGTGGTAATCACTTATGGCCGTGGAAGACAAGAAGAATCGCCTGTGCATGCATCAGCCGGTACAACAAACAGCGAATGAGCCGAACTACCCTCCACGCAATTACGAGCAGTCCTCGCATCACATACTTTACCTTTCTCACATGGTTTTGTATACAGACCCGAGAGCTAGAGATTTCCGATTGCCCGAAAGTAAACTGAAATTCAAGCCTTTGCTATGGGGCTCTCCTTTCGGAGACTAACATGACGCCAAACGATCTGCGTAGGCTAGTTTGTGGCCCACAGGCTATCGTTCCATCAAACGAGGAGTGAAATATAACAGCACATGTAGGACAGCAGATTTATGGGGCTACTCTAACGCCTGTCTGTGTTCAGTTTGAGTAGAGATCGCTAGGCTGAACGATGCAAGATCTTTAACAGAGTACATCGAATCGAGATTGCATGATGTGTATCTGAACATGTGCTCTCAAGACTTCTGCGCGTCCAGGACAAGCTCTAGCACATATGAAACTGAAAAGCTGTGTTTCTCCCCAAATTCATGGAGTGGTGATTAGTTCATGCAGCTGCTCGTAAAGGTGAATTCCTTCTTACAACTTCCGATGTCACCTTTTAGATTTGACTGCCACATAGACTGCACTCTCCTATACGATGCAGAACCCCACAGTCCATAAGCCTACAAGAGTGTATTGACTGCATTGGCTGAGTATGCTTTCCACTTTGCAAGCACTACCGCATCAGACTCTTCGTTATACAATGTAAAAAAACTCATATGACATGGCACATCAGAGCACTTCCATATTATGTCGGGCAACAAACTTTATCATTTCTTCGGTATCCAAATAATACTTGGTTCTGCGTATGTTTCGAAATCCATTCGCTTTTACTAGGCATAGACTTCTGCTGAAGGTTTCGTATTGGAACATATGTTGGACATGTTCGCGAGCGAGTTTTGTCCGCTCCAAGGCCTTTGTTGTTAGGTTCTGCATTTCATATATGTGACCAATTTTGAGAAAAAAATAACGACTCCAGCAGCATGTAGTAAATTTACTAAAATTTCACCGCTTCATGGATAAAAAAAGTGTGATGAACATACTTTTACTCGCTTCTTCAGTTTTTTATCATGATACTAGCCCGTATGAAAAGTTGAGCTTAGAATTATAAAGCTCACTTTCCTATCCAGAGCAACGATGCTTGTGTTATCACTTCACGCTGAACTATAGCCTCTCCGAAAAGCTTGGAGTGAGCAGAATGTGTGGGCTACGATCATGATTAAGTTTAATTTCAGAAATGAAGAAGTTAGCAAGAGTATGTTTGATCTATAAAATTTTCTCGTTGAAACCCACATGTTCTTTATTCATTTTCTCCGTGGAGCGATAAAATAAGTAGATTTTTAATACCTGTTGCTGGACTCGTCTTTTTAATTTCAAAATTTTTCACAAATATGACATGCCGAACCCAAGAACATAGTCCATGGACCGGACAAGTCAAAGAGTTTCCAAAACTTCTGCATGAGAAAATCACCGTGCAAGGGGAGTTGTCTGTTGGAGGGATCATCGGGTGACCTGACTCAGACTAGTCGATCTGACCGGAATTGGGATCATGAACCATCTCTGTCCACCGTTGTTCACGGCTACCCAAGTTACATCTTAATGGGGGTCAATCGAGGACTCAGATACGCTCGCACAGTGATGTTGTACAACTGGCAAAGGCCAAAATATGTCCACCTACCACCCAGAAAAAGACTGGAGAGGGGACACGGTTTTGAGAGAAAAGAGTGTAGGGCAACTAGGGCTGTTATCGGTATCGGATCTGGGAGGCTAATATTTCGAAGGTATGAGAATCGCAGTACAGTATATTATTGGATGCTCAGAATCATCATCCACGATCCTCGAACTCTGGAACTCGTTTTAAGCACCTCTCCTTTTTCCTTTGGAGTCAGACTCTCATGAGGAACAATGTCACGCCGGGTTATCCCTGAGCCCGATTGATTACTTTGAGATAGTGAATAGACGATTAAGTGAAATACAGCTTTTTGGGCAACGAGAAAGGACTCAGGGTTATATGATGTAGTAGATATTGAGCAATTGTAATGGGAGGCAACACATATGAATATGAGAAAGAGAAGGAAGAAAACACCTTAAAAAATTGGCAGGGACAGGTCAACGACTTGAATTGCCTTGGTCTAGATCTTCGATCGAGTGGAAGGAGAAAGAGTGTTGTTAGAGCATGCGAGACAAAGCTAAAAGAGAGAGACAAATTGTCAACATAAGTCCTAAGTATTACTACTAATGAATGGCTGCTCGTATTGCTTATGATGTCAGCTCTCTCTTATTAATCCTAAGGTTGAAAAATGATGTGATTTGTACTAAGATTATTTTGGTTGATTAAAATTTTCCATGCACCGGGGGTAGATCCCGTTCAACAAGTATATATATATATATATATAGAGAGAGAGAGAGAGAGAGAGTGTGTGTGTGTGTTATCTTAAATTTTTCCTTGGTGTTCGATCTCGAGTGACGATGCAAGAGGTTGGATCTTTGGTGTTAGCAAATCAACTATTCACTACAATTTGAGATATGGATTTTCAATCTCTTCTGAAAGATATAAAATCAATTTGAAGATAAGAAGAGAGAGCAGTAGGTGAAAAAAATCATCCTGAAAAAATTACTTACCGAGAGGATGGGAGAATAATAATTCGGGGAAAAAAATTGTACAAAAATCACTTCCAATCTCAATGACGGTACTTACCACAGCCATAAAGTTGTGGACTACGTTTAGCTAATAATAAGGAACTATACAAATCTCAATGGATACAAAATGTTTTTGAAAAAACCTTCGTTGGACGTTCCTGGTGCATTATGGTTTATGGTTTCAAATGCATATAATTATATTAAAGTGGAACGCCGCAAGCACAACATTTTGTCGAGGGAGTTGTATTAGCATGGACGTTCTCCTACTACCTACTACTTCCACTAAGGGAGTCCAGATGTCTCAATCTCCTCGAGGTCTCTCGTGCTCTACTGATCAGGAGGCTCAGGGTTATGCTTTCGAGAAGCAGTTGGGGGAGAAGGACGCGCATTACTAACAAATGACACTAAAACATGGGGAAAAAGAGTCTTAGTCAGCGAAGTCTCTCCTGCTTGAGTCTGCAATGCTACTATCCCTGTAGTGCATGGCTACTATGCCACCACTTTATCGTGATAAAGTGATGGCATCATGAAGGAAAGAGAGACAGTGAAAGCAATCCTTCACTGAAAAAGAAAGAGCGCTGTCCGCAAGAAGTAAGAGAATTGTCATTACCATTGCATGAAACTATCACCAAGTACCTTGTAAGTTGATAAATCAACCCATGGGAGAAAACATATGAAATGTCTAGAGGGACGAATCTAGATTGTTTGTGAGGGAGAGGAAGAGGGAGAGACAGAAAAAGGAAGAATGAGTGGAGAGACAATGAATGAGGCAAAGTGGAAGTCACATGTCAAGGCAGATGCAACGAAGAAAAAAGTCTGACAAAAGAAAAAGTCTACTATAAAGATCAGGCGTGGGGAGCACGGGACATGTAGAATTTGCGAGAAAGTTTGATTACTTGTTTCTTGTTTAACAGTGAAATTCAACACGATGGAAGATTCAGACGGTTGACGGAGCTAATTTAGCCCCTGCTGGAACGAACAGTTGTTGCCCATTGAACTTTCCAGTATCAATTTCAAAGGCTTCAAGCAGATGAGTCTTTAAATTCCTTATATTCACGAGAGACAATGATCAATTGCAACGCACCTGCTAGAGACGCACAGACATCAGTGAGGTTTGGACAACCATCCCCCCTCCAACCTTTATCCATGCTTGTGATTTCCTCTTCTACCTCTTCCACTTTCGAGTCTGGAGCCTCCTGTACATTCCTCCCAGGCTCTCGCCTTCACAAACTTCCAGGCTTCAAAAAGGCTTTGGTCGAGGACAGATTCCAACCTCGTGACTACACGGCGGCCGTTGACAAGATCATGAAATCTGGAAGCTCCTTTCTAACGGAGGATAGAAAGGGCAAGAGCTATCGAAACATGAGGTAGGTTCTTGACAACTGTCAGCACATTTTCTGGTGTTTCCCAGATTTTCTGTTGTGTACGTAAGTTAAAAGGTTGCGTATCTCAATCTTCTCTAAGCCTAAAAATTCATATAACTCCTTACTCTCACAAAGGTTCGCTCGTTCGTTCGTTGCTCACCACATAATAAACTTAACTGACACTTCCACTTATTCCTGTCTCGAGAACCACGAGAAGAAACCCCAAGTCTCGTTAAACATTAGGACAGTACAGACAATCAAACCCCAGCCACACATGAGGCATGCATCTTCGAAGCGCACAGCAATCCGAACCAGAATCCCCGAAACTCCCAAGAAGCTGCGGTCTCTGCAATTCTTGACCGAATTGAAAAACACCGAGCGGAGACGAAGTCCTTTCAAACAACCTGACCCGAAACAATTTGCATTGGTGGTATTCGACGGGACCGGGTAGGTACATGAACCCTGGAGCACGAAAACCGGACCCAAGAGGACGACGAGAAGGATCCCCTTCCCCACCCGGGCATTTCATAAATCCGCCACAGACCCGTCGAACGTCACACCGAGTCTCGGCAGGTCCCACTCGGCCCATTAAAAGTCGCAGCGCTCGAGAGAACTCCAATGAGCGAGCTCTCGAGGACGGCAGCCATAGCCAGGGGGGCCAGATTGTGGACCCGCGGGGCGGCTTTCGTCCTTGCGGGCTCGAGCCCCGAAAGAAACGAAGGAAGGAAGGCCTGGAGGAGGGCCATATTTTCCACGATGAGCTCGGACAATAAAGGGCCCACTTGCATGAATTTGTCGATGGGCATGGAATTCTCCCTCGGATTGAAAGAAGTCCGAGACCCACCTCGATGGAATAATATTGAGGGCCCTGTCTCGTGGACACGCACCTCTTTGGGATGTGGTAGCCCTGGGGACGACAAGTACTTCGGGACGCTGCATTGTCTTCACGGTCCCACTCTCCACCATCACCATCTGATTTTGCGTTGTTTGATGTTGCTGCTTGAAGCTTATATTGCGGCACGGGCCCTTTTCGATGTAATATTGTTTGAATAGTTGCAGCCTACGAATAGAAGCGAATGCTCCACCGGCCAATTTCTGTTGAGCTACGAAGGGCATCAGACCTTTTCTGTGTCTTAGGACCTAGAAAATATAATTTAAATGAAATACTAATGAAATACTAATTTAGCATAGCATGCCGAAGGAAAGATGTTTTGTAATGGTTTGGAAAAAGTGTTTAAGTAAGAGGGACTGGTTCTTTGCAGTGATGTGGGGTCGTACAATAGTTCGAAGCTTATGGTATTGAATCAAAATCCGGGACTATGTTGGGTAAGAATTGAGATTGACATTCATCTACGTGAGCGTTATGACAAGGTCTCAAAGAATGAGCCCAATTTTCCTCCAGGTGGTTACTATCTGTACTTCTGTACTTTATCGTCTAGACAGTTTTCTTTGACATGCATTTTTACCAATTTGCGAATGGCTCTTGAAGCACTCTTCAAACGATGGATGATGTAATCTTCTAACGATTTATTGCACAAAGTGGGAGCTAACCTGCCAACGAAAGATGTGTAATAAAACCAATACTGCAATATTCGTCCATGGATAATTGTGCTGATTCTTTACTATTGGACCAGTATTTCAAAGCTACGAAGGCCGGTAAGAACGTATTCATGGAATCTCTTACGTAATGTCAAGGACGGCGAGGACTACGTACCACCAGGAAACGTGTTTAGGACATCAACAAAGTGTTGTGTAAAACACTTTGTTGCATCCAGGTCTTTGTTTTTATATGTTAGACTCATACGTATTCGTGTTAATTTATTGTGAAGATTCAGCCAAAATCGAAGGAATTATAGGATAGGACATTAAAGGCGTAGATGTTCATGTTCAGCGAGGTCAATTGGACCTTTAAATTTCAACGTAGAAAAGGAGCATCTTGTCCCACATTAGTCGTTTTCAATGACATATGCGATCGAGTTGCAAATGGACCGTGGAAGTTTGATTGAACTCTAAATGTGTCGAATTAAGATGGTCGGATTAGAAGAAAACATTGCGAAGATAAAAACAAAAGCATGCTCAAAGTGAGTGAGCATGTCCACAGCGGCGAGACATTTGTCAAATGCGAATGAACGATTGTGATGTTTCACGCAAGCACCATTTCGTCGGAGAGTTTTGTAAAATAAATGATCGGAAAGAAATCGAGTCGACCCCAATGGAAGACAAGAAATGGTGCACCAAAGTCCTGTTCCAGCGGTGAGTGGGTGTTAAAGTCCCGGCATAGACAATTGTAGTTTTGAACATATTGGGACTGTCAATTCCACACGTAGAGGAAAAACAGCACTGCACAGTCACCTTTGGGCGTGGGCGTAAAATTTGATGCATGCGAAATTGAAGAACCCCAATAATGCCGACTTGCAGTTGAGTTAGTCTCTGATTTGGACATAGAGATCCACAGCTGTGACAGCAACGATGCCGTCATCGCCTGACTGACATCCACACATCTATCGGTAGCTCATGTAGCCCTCGTCCCCCACCGAGAATATAATACTCGACCTGTCCGCTTATACAATGTGTACATGAACAAGGGCCACAAATGACAACTCACATCCAAAATCTCTCGCTCTCTTGTTGGACTCGTGGGCAGATTTCGTGCTGACAGTGGGGTAATCCTGAGCATTAGCCCCTGGAGCTAACATGACAAAGAAGGGGAGAAGTCCCAACAAATACCACAATCCGAGAAGAGTTGAAACTCCTCCGAGGAGAATTGTGGAGACTTTTCTGGTGTGCTAATTCGATCTCACTCACCTTCGTCGTAAGTCTCTTTTTTATCATAAACGACGATCGTCCTGCATTACGTAAGCCACAGTCACGAAATGCGGGATATGATCTTGGAGTTATTAAATGCATCGGTTGGTACAGCACTGGGGATGTTATTTTACTCCTCGGAGCGAGAGATCTGCAGGCAGAGATTGGGCTAACAAATTTTATATATATATGAGGGGAATAGTTCAGCTGACAATTGCTATCCAATAACTGCGTGTACAAATGTAAAACATGAATTTTTTTCCCCTCTCTATCTCTCTCGCATGGTTTGCAAGGAGCAACGACAAAGGGAGGCAGACAAGTTCCATCGAGCTATTGCTGCAGAGTTTTGCGGGATCGATATTCGAGCCGAATCCGCTGATGCAACCACGTGACGCACTCTTGTGATGTTTATTTTTGTCTCTTCGTCTCCAATCTACCACGTTCGCGTCTCCACCACGTAACTGCCGTCACTACCTCGTTCGACCCTCAGCGTCGGTCCTTTGATAAGACTACACATTAGCTTGTTCTGAGAACCTGGTAGAAGAAAGCAGTCCACAGTTGTTGATATCAGAGAGACTTGGACAAAGTTTCTTGATTGGAGAAGATCGAGACAAAAGTCCGTAGAACGAGGAACAAGACGTTGAAGATATCAAATAAGAAGACAGAATACCAAATTGTAGCGAGAATACTGTGTATTGACAACCATGTGCAACTCACGGCCACCAATTATATTTCAATTTGAGTCTGTTTAACTTGAATTAATAAAAAACATAATATTTTTCCTCAGAAATAGATTTCGTCCTTTCAACAGGAAGAATTAGGCCGGAAAAACGGAAGACCATGTCTCAGATCTGACTAAGAGTAGCATTTTTGAGATTATTCGATAAACCCAAAATAAGTAGAGCTTGTAACACTGGGAAATATATATAGGACTCAATGACATTTTCGTCACTCAATTTTTGGTATCAGATATAAGAAAGACTGAGCAGAAGATAAAAGTGGCAGTCTGGAAAATCGAATAGCAAAAATGGGGGTCGTTGTTTCTGTAAAGGTCATGACTACTTTATAGAGTCCATGGACGTCTCGACTTCCTAACGAATTCGAGGGGAGATTGATTCAATTGGAGCCCACCACTGAGATTGAAGCTTTTATCACAGCCAATCCTCTAGAGCGACAAGCCTATCAACTTCCATCACCACGGAAAGATATATGGAGAGCTCTGGTGTTTCAACACGTCAGGGTCGCAAAAGCAGAGAAGCTTTTGAAAGTTACGTGTGAGAGGCATGTAACAGAATATTCAACGATAGACTTCAGAAATTTAGAAAGAAGTCATCATGAACATCAAGTACATGCAGATACCAACTGGGTTCAAGATCTATCAACAATGAAGCTGTACTTTTACTTCTGGAGGTTTCTCACTTTCTACAAAACATGATGTGTATGCATCACCATCTACACAAGTCTTCGATTTAGGCTACACTTCATCATCGCTTTGATTCTCCCCCATTCGTCAACTGGAACTCGAAATAAGCTTGAAAGAGAAACCATAGAGCCGAAATTTGGAATATGCTAGAAAACTAAAGATTGTACAATGAGCGATTGAACAAATCGTGGGGTATGGGACCACGTTCAGCGGCCATAATAAGCGTCAGTCCCGCGTCGAGACTCTGAAGTCGTCCTGTGAGCAGAGGGAAGGCACATAATTCCTAACAAAACAAGTTTATGGTTTCATGGAAAGCTTTAAGCTGGGCTCGTAGCAGAAGTTCGACTTTCTGACTATTCCATGGGGATCAAAACCACGATACAAGACACGAAAAAGAGACGAGCATGTTTGATGCAGGATTGGTCCTTACAGAACCACCTGAGGGTAAATCGTAGTAAGATACAAGTAGGTCCAGTTGCCGTGATATTTAGTTTTGTGTGGATCAACTGGTGAGATGGGGAAAAGTGATGCCAGTTGGAACACAAGCAACCTCAGGTTGTCTGGAGGGGCATGGGTACAACCAAGCAATTCCGATTGTGGGACCAGTCTGCTCACAGTGCGGTCAGAACGTTATCAAGTTATCAAGTTGGGACGATCTGCTGGTGCCGATACTGGGATTGCCGTTTCTTCCGAGTGATAGCATGTCGCTCAGACTGTTAGGAACCACAGTAGGTGCAAAAGACAACCGCATGACAGACTGCGCTTTTCAGTTCCGCCGAGGTGCTCGCAATGATCAGTTGCTGGACTTGATCTGTATCCAAGCGCAATGTCTGTGCTCCAGCTTTATCATTATAGTGGAGAGAAGAACAAGTATAACCCCACAACGCCTAGTTGATGCAAAAAGCGTTAAGTAGCTACTTGTTTAACTGTTCGTACCCAACGTATACAAAGATTTATAACTCGCATGCACTTGGACAAGGACGTCTACGACAATGTCCAAGAACAAGTTCAGACCACGAATGAGGTGGCGAACAGAACATTAAAGCAAATATCTTCTCTGTAGCAGTATTTCGCAGGAGATATCACTTCTGGAGAGAATGCTGGTAACATCGTTGTCGTTGCTTCCAGCATGTTGTGTACAATCGGAACAGGTGAGTATGATGATCCTTGTAAAGTGACCCAAATTGAGTTCTGATCTATTTTCTATATAACATGAACTCCGTGGTTTAGTTGGGAAATATTTGTGGTATGATGAATGATATAAAGACTATGTGGTCGCTACAAGACGCTTTAAATTGGGTCAATCGTCGTCTAGTGAAATCACATAATCTTCACCTAAGCTTTCTGCATTTGGATCGGTAATTATCTCGCACGAATGTTGCTCTTTGAGAGCTGCACTATCTGCTACCTTTGAGGCGGGCAAGGCACAAACACCAGTGGCTTGGACACTTTTATCAATTGGTTCACTACTACTGTCAGCTAAATCTACGACTTCAGTGCCTGGTGCAATGGTGTTGATAGAACGCCTCCTCTTGTTCGGACTCATTTTCTCTTTCTTGGTGGGACTTGTTTCATCCTTCTTTCTATTACTGCTTCCATCCTTGTTTGGACTAGGTTTTCCCTTCAACTTGCCACGAACAGCGTTCAAAGCGTCCCGCACAGATACATCACCATCCCTACTGATTAGCTTACTGGTGGGCAAAACTTCTTGCCCAATGCTCACATTTCCTTCTCCGGGCTTTTGTCCGGACTTCCCACTTGCTTCTGCTGTGTGCTTTTGAACTTCGGGTACTTGCGTGGGGGTCACTTCTTGACCATCTGCTGCCTCTACTTTCACCGTTGTCGGTACCCGGCGGAATGGTTCATAAAAAGCATCATACAGTCGCTTCACCTGATACGAACAAGCATTTGAAATAAAATTCAACACTCGAGAAAACCCTGGTCATCATAATCATCAACGGGTACTACTCTCTCTAGCCTGAAGGGCGTGGACCTTGGATGAATAGGGATAAAGTGGGAAAGGAAGGAGAGGGACATTTCAAGGTGAGCAGTATCTCTCTTAGGGTGGGATTTGCTCGGAGATCAGATGTCGACCAAAAAACCTTCACACTAGCTCATTTACCTCTGGACTTGTACGCCCCAGAATATAATATTGTAAAAAGCAGCAGAGCTTTGAGCTCCAGATTGGAAATCTCCAATATACTGCCCTATTCTACAACTTTTTACCAGATCAAAATAAACTCATTAACATGCACCTGCCATAGCCTGAAGTCTACACACCCACATGTGTTCAGATCTAGACAAATAACACAAAGAGGAAGCGTAGCAAGACTCTCACACTCTCTTGGGGCTTGATGCACTGACTTGCCAGTTTCTGAACCTTTCTTTCATAGAAGACAAGATGAAGCAGTCCAACAAGGCTCGCTTAACACATCCATCAGAGTACCACCCGTTCTTACAATGGTGAGTTCAAAGACCCGACCGTAGCATTGACACACGGCTGGACTGATGATCCAATATACGGGCACATTGGCCATGAAGCAGGATAGAGCTGAAAGACAATGAGAGAGATAAAAGAGGGTTGTAAATCATACCTTGCGCTCACCGATCCCAGGGCACCGTGCAAAATCTTCCATCGATCCATTGAAGATGCCAGCTAGAGTCTGCATTATCACAGAAAATTCGACATGAGCTGAAACGACATATACTTGAGCTTGGTCGAAGGAACCCGTCAGTGCGTAGCAGACTTCCATTCCCTGGTATCATCACACTCAAACCTAAAGCAAGAGCATTTGAGTCACACACTACAGCCTACTTGAAAGTAAGATATATGCTCTCTTCCAAGCGACTGTCGATTACCCCGAAAGCTGTTCCAAGAGAGACGGCGTCGGTCTTGTTGACATGTCTTACGGTTGTCAAAGCGCTCGTCAACTGCATCAACAAATTAGATCATTATTTAGTGATTCGATTTCGCCCTGGAGAGGCTATGACCTAGTATTCAAAGTCTTGAGTTCCTCCTTGCAGTGGTGTGGGTGTTTGTTACGACGATAGTTACAAGCCTTCAATCTTCCGTATAGAATTGAACGAAACTGTAGCAATGCGTAACGTGACACGTCTGCGTCCGAGCAGACATATAGGTGCACAAAGACGATTATCGACTCGTAAGGAGTTTCACTTTGCGACTCCTTTCACGCATTTCTATGTGATAGATCGATACATGCAATCCAGCAAGACTAACCTGGACTTCTTCGAAATGTTGGCTCGTGTAGAGCAACTGGAACAACTCGATTCTAGGGTTTGATTGAGACGATATCGATTGATTAAATTTAACAGGTGACGAGATCCAAGACCAGAAGTTTTATGATGAAAGAACGCACCCTTGAAAGGTAGTCATTGTCAGTTCGCTCCTGTATGTAATCAGCTGGCTTGTTTTCGTATGATTTGATAGTTTCCAGGTAGCGTGCACATTCCTCCTGACTGGCAATCATAAAGATGATAATGTTGGCTCAAAAGACTCGTAGTATATGGTCAACGTTCGAAAGCAAGTGTTTTCGCAGGTTCCTCCAATTCCGACTCAACTATGCTTATACATGATATAATCTCAAAGCAGATGAAATCTTACTATGACATGTTCCAAGCACGAGAAGAATAGCAAGGCACCTCCAAGCACAAAGAAGACTGCAGTCATGTAACAAGCATGTCTTCGTCACTTCATGTAATGGCTTGATAACGTCATCCTGCAACGAACAGAAAATGAACGTGTTAATATGTTTGAAGCACAATCTTCACTCAGTCATGGCCTTTCAGCAACAGTTGCATGCCTCTTCAATGCCCGGCCACCATTTAGCAGAAACTGCAACTCAAATCCATCACTAAACACATACTGTGAAAACCAGGTGTTTAGAACACAGGCTCCTCGACCAGAGCGGTGTACTCTTGATCGTAGATTTTCCACCAATACTTACCACATCTACATGGCACAGAACTACACGTAAGCGAAATCCCTTCATAAGCTCACGGATACGGAAGTAGATGTAGTCTGGGTGCAGTAAGTGATATCGCAGGCTGCCTCGTGAACATATCCATTTTCACAAGCTAGTTAGAATCAGAATGATGCAAGAAAATTGAAAGATCAACTAGATGTGGAGTACGAAGCACATTTAGTCAAACCTTAAATAGAGAGCGCAAGAAGTCTGTCCCAGAATATAATCAGGTACGATGTCTGTGAACATCCATCGAACGTTCCGGATGTGCTTCAAGATGGGATTTCCTTGCTGCCAGTCAAAACCATTCCGAGGAGGACGACTCAGGTGTGAGGTTGCCAACAGGTTATCTTCAGGCCTGGAGCCGAGAAATAAGAATGAAAAATGAAAAAACTTATCCTGCTTGTAATCATCAAAGTAAAAGCCGTGATAATAATGTGGCTATATTCATCATGTTCGACAACAGAAGTTCTTAGATGTAACCCATTTTCAAATTCAACGACCTAAGAACTTGGAGTACAACAGACAAACAACAGAAGTTTACCTGCCGACGGCTGACGAGTATGGAATTACGAGCTTGACCACTCAGAGCAGCTAAACTCGCTCTACAAAACACGCACATGCACGCACCATCTAAACAGATCAGCATAAAAGTTGAAAGTCTTCAGTCGAGAAAATATTGGAGATTTAAGTGGTACGATCTGCTGAAAGGGATATTGAATTCACTTACTCTTGTTGAGAGAAAGTTGTACTCGAAGGGGGACCTCCAGAGCTCGTAGAAGATGGAGCAGCGGCAGATGCAGGAGGCGGAGGAGGTTTCGCTGGAGGAGGAGAATAAAATTCTGTATTTCGCAAAAACGAAAAAGCTTCCGTGAACGAAGTTCCCGGTCCACTGGCCTGTGCCTGAACGCGGAGAGGAGGTGGTGTCAACGCCGGTGCTGCAACACTGGCACTACCACTTGTACTGGCTGATGCTCCTCCCTCACTCGAAGGCCGAAAAAAATTAAAAGATTGACCTCTGCCGGAAGAGCCGAGCTCTACCTCCTGTGCAGATGGAATCTGCACAACAAACTTCTTCGCACGGCCATTCTCCCCCATCGCCACAATTCCACTTCCTCTTGCTCTTCCTCTTCTAATCCGATTTTGCTTTCTCCATCAGCACTGCAATCTTCGGTGTTTTTCCTTGCTCTCGTGATCCACATGATCACAAGCACGGGCTACTCCGAATTCGGTGAAGCGAAAAACTTCGACTCGAAATCCATGTGAATTTGTCACATTGTTGGATTGTCGACGATGCCATGTCCTCGCCGTTTGCTGTCCTGGTCTCGGCGAAAAGCGTAACCATTACTCCTCCCGTGACAGTCTTCTGTCGACGTAGTGCACTGTGGATGTTTCGCTCTTGGACTACAGTACGCGAAATGTTGGCATTCGTCGCTGTGTAGGAGGAAAACCTTGTAAGGAAGAAATTATAATATTGGATTAAGCCAATGTAAACATTTTCACTTGATAAGTTGATGTATGACATCTATGTGAATGGACGAAGACTACGAGTTTAATATTGTATAACTTGATATCGTATGACTAAGTACGTCCAATGTAAATATTGACTCAGTTCTATAATCATTATCATGTGATATTTGTTATACACTATTCCAATGTTATGGAAAATATAGATAGTTTGACGAGCGATATTGGAAAATTGCTGTCAAATCATCTACATTTTTCACACATAGCCTTTTTAAACTTTCTTTGTTTCTAAAAATATATAGTGGATGTTTTAGTGACATCTTCTGCCTTAACCTTAGCTGTGTGTAATTACATAATGGATACAGAATCAAACATTCAACATTCTTGGAGAGGTGGGGCAATCTCAACACCTTTGTAACAAAATCATCATGGTATATATATATATATATATATATATATATAATATGTTTAAATATTTTATAAAATTCAGTAAACTTATATTTTCACATCTTGAAACTATACTCATTACTGTTATTATTAAGTCAAGGATTTTTTTCAAAATATTTATGAATAGATATACAAAATTAGACTTTAAGTGATATTAGTTTTAATTTTATATTACTGAATTTCATTAATACCATTTAATTCAAAAATCAAAATGTAAATAATAATGTAAAGTTGAAATTTACACAAAGAAATTATATTTCTTAAACTTTTCATCTTAGTTTTAATAAAGTATATTTTAATAAGTAAGTAAGTCTTCACATGTGAAGTTATAGCGACTATCGAAAAAATTATTCTGACTATTTGTATTATTTTTTACGATTTTTTTTATTCAACTAAATTCAAATATTATATTAAAGTACCAAATCATCACAATATTAATTATTCATAAAGAAAATTAATCATACAATACTTTCAGAAAATTTTATTTCACTTTCAGTATGCAAACTTATTTGTACTCAAATTTTTTTTGAGATTTTATCTTGCCTATTTGTGAATGATTAGTTTCTTGTTATAAGATATGTTCAAACATTTTTTGTGTAAACACATTAGTAATATTAATCTGCAAAATATTTTTTGAATTTTTAATTTTTGGTAATGAAAAATTGATTATATTGATCTAAAAGATTTTTGAAATGAAGAAGAGTTTTAAAAATTATAACCTTTTGAAAGTGTTATGATGTTGACTTAATGATTAAAAAGAGTAATATTACTACATCTAGAATTTTAGTAGAAATTTGAGAAAAAAAATTAATTTTGCACAATGATTTCGTTTTTCATAGTATTTCTTAATCATTTTAGATCTAGTGTTAACTCAAAATATTAATGTTTTGAAAGAATATGCAAGTCCATCAAGATTTCTAAATGTACAATTAGGTTTATTCGTTGAATTTCATTTGAATTTGTTTGACATAAACTATCATTTAAAAATCTGTTACAAAAATTTTAAATGTATTAAAAATTTTTGAAATTTTTGAAATTTTTTTTAGAAATTTCTTGTTTCATGTCAATAAAATTTATTCATAAAGTTTTTTTTTATTTCTATAGAAATCAAATTTCAACATTGAACACATTTTTGAACAAGTCTTTGAACATATTGATTTGATTTAAAGACCACATATTTGAAGCAAATATTTATTGTTGTCTTACCATCAAACTTAAATCTAAAAAATGAATCAATTTTGTGTTTTTTTTATATGAATTATAAGTAAAAGTTTGTAAATTCATATGCATAATATCAGATTAAGTTTAATTTTTGAAAGATGTGATTCAATGAAGGAAATGAAATTAATGAAATGTTTTCATTTTATTAATGTATAGGTTGGATTGATTATACACTTAATCTTGATTTGTTGAAAGATGTGATACATTTTTATTATCACGATGAAAATTATCAAAATTTTGTTTCAATCTCATCTAAGTGATAAGTCTATTCATCCAAATTCTTTTCTTTGTTACTTATCATATCTCTATTTATTTGACATTCATTGTTCATTGAGCTATGCACTTCTTAGATCTAGATTTTCAATTAATGTATTAAGCATAAAGTGAAAAAATCACATGATAAAAAGTTTTTTTCTTCTTCACATGTAGTCAATTTTTAGTATGAATAACATCACAAAGATTTAACATTGTCGCTGGCTTAACCTAAGAGCTTCCGTAAAATGCGGAGCTCAGGTCTAGCGGCGGGAAGGCATTTTGACTACTGGCACCGGGTTGCATCGAGGACTTCGAGCGATTTGAGTGTTAGAAATTCAATTTTAGGTATTGGGACTGCGATATCGAGAGTCTGAGTGAGTGGCGGAGCACGAGCGGAACGAATAGGAGGTTTTACCGACGAAGGCGTCTCTTGACTCGTCAGGAAACACTACTTGAGAATCGTCAGACCGGAAACTTGAGCCGTGTGGTATAAGAGTCGACATCTCTAGCGTGCGGAATGAAGAGCGGGATTCGAACGGAAGAGATGACTTGGGTATACACACAACGATACAAAGCTCCTCGATCAAACTGCACAAAGATTATAGATTTAGGAAACTAGAGTTACTAAGGTCTAGACAGGCCTCCGTGCCCTCGCCCCCGGTCATGCCTCCGGAGGGTGTGCCTCCAACACTACCTGGAACGTGGAAGGACTAAACGGACACACCAGCAAATACAAAATCAAGGACTTCTATCACTTGAGTCCTCAGAAACCCGACTGCCTAGCCATTCAAGAGCACAAAGTTGACGAATTCATGATGCCTTCAATTGGGAATTTCCTCAGTAGAGACTTTTGTACGGTCTGCGCCTCGGGACTACGAGGGGTACAGGAGGAACAGCCCTCCTCATTCACAAGAGCTGGAAGATATTGAAATATGGGAAGACCTCGGACGGCCACATAGTCTGGGCCCAGATTGAGAAGGATGGACACGACCTGCATATTGCATCAGTATACGGGCATCACCTTCCGAGGACTAGAGCAGCACAGTGAACAGAAATGAAAAACATGTTCCCCCACACGAACATCATCCTTTGTGGGAACTTGAACATACCCGGTTCCCGCGATCCTGGGAAAAGAAACAATGAACGCGGCCATTCAGAAAATTTGGAGAAAACTCCAAAAAAGGAAGGAGTACACCTGAAAAATCTATCACAAGGGTATGATGAAAACCCGTAAGATGTTACGTGCAAAGCAGAAGGAGCATAGGACAAAGATCTCAGAGATTGCAGACCTGCACAAAGCTGGATCGGACAAGCTTTCTAACAGTTAGCTGGTGCGACTGGACTGGCTAGAAACAGAGAAGAGGTTGAGGGAGCATGAAAGAGACGTGGAAATACGTCTCTGGTCTCGAGTGAAACACCTCGAGCTTGGAGATGCCCCGTCCAAATATTTCTTTAACATACACCGACAAAACACCGCCCGAGCGCAAATTTTGCAGCTCAAACTACCTTTGGAAGAGGAAACTAGAGATCAGGCAAAAATCCTATGTGCGATAGTAATGTACTACTCAGACCTGTACACTGCTGAGACGGAAAGCGCGGAGGTGCAAACAACAAGAACGGCAGTCATGGGATAGGTAACCGACAAACTTACTGATGCGGACCGACACATGTAAAGTAACGGCTTAAGTAAGTAAAAGTAACGGCATGTTTGTCAAGTTGGACTTTGAGAAGGCCTACGACCGGGTCGAACATGCTTACCTGTGAGAAACCATGCGAGCCTGTGACCTGGGAGAAAACTTCATCACTCTAGTCCAAGGACAGACGCAAGGGGCATCGACGACAGTTCACATCAACGGGGCTAAAACCTACAGCTTTTTGGTGGGAAGGGGAGTTCGGCAAGGATGCCCCTTGGCACCTCTCCTCTTCTTTTCAGCAACACAACCACTTATGACAGAGTTGAAGATCAACTTCAAACTCGGGAAACTAAGAGGGTTCAAAATTGATAAGATGGTAATTCTTGACTGCTACCTTTTTGCTGACAATATGGGTGTGTTCCTTGATAACTCTTATACCTTGTTTCAAGAACTACGGGGAAGTCTAGCGAAATACGAAGTGAGTAGTGGAGCACGCCTGAACCTCATCAAGTCATCCATCCTGCTGCTGGGGATGGACAGACCGCCAGATTGGCTCACGCATGTAGGATGTTCCCTGATGGAGCTAGGCCAAATCAACAAATACCTAGGGGCCCCGTTAGGAAATAGTACCACAGAGCAGCAACAAGATGATTTTTGCACTCACAAAATATCAAGAAGGCTAGGAGGTTGGGAGACCAGGCTCCTATCATTTGAAAAAAGGACCATTCTCCTACAGTTTGTTCTTCAAGCGCAACCAACCTTCTATTCGTCCCTTATCAAGCTATCAGCAAAAACCTGCAGGAAGGTAGAACAGTTGTAACGTCAGTTCTTATGGGGATACAACAAGGAAGGAAAGGCAAATAAAAATCTCTGGTTCAGTGAGACATACTGTGCAGGCCAAAAAGAGAAGGAGGCCTATGCATCATAAGTGTTTCGGATACAAACGCTTCCATGGTGGAGAAGTGGGTAGGTTCCATTCTGGATGGGAAAGCAGGAACCTGAGGATCTACACTTCAGGAAATAATAGCCACATGTAGAGCAAAATACAGCAAAAATGTAGTCAGAGGGCACTACACGTTACCGGAGCTGATTCTAACGAATCAGCCCCTCAGGTTGTTTGGAACCGACATGGTAACTGCGCTATTGAACTGTTGGAGGTCAATCCAGAAGGATATCACATGGAACCAGGAAGGCGCTCTGATCCCTAAACACATTACACTTAGGGACATGGTAAGGCTAACACTGGGACACTCTCCAAAGTTGCTAAGCAAGACAAAAGTAGTCATGGCAAAATTCAAGAATTTGAAGATTACACAAACTAAAGTACTTTGGGGCAGACGTT